ACATTTCGTTGATTTCAACTGCCGCGGTTCAAACAATAACGTCAGCAAAATTTCCGCGTGCCGGCGCTTAGGCTAACCCGGTGGAAAAAAAAACGAATTGAAATGCGAATTAAAATTTGGTTTGCATGCGCTATAGGCGATTGTTGTTTTTGCTCTTTGCCAAAGCATGCTGTTGAAAATCGCGGTTGACAAGCTTCCGCACAGCAGATTTCGATCATTTCGCAAATCGGCGGGTGACAAATAGGCGATCGAGCGGCGCGAGCACGTTCGAATGACGATGATAGCCAAGGCACAATTAATGGCAGTCCTTGCGGATGATATTCATGCGCGTGTGTAACTCGCGCGCATACGTTACACTCGAAAATATATGGCGGCGGAATGCGAATCCCGCCGCGCGACAACATATCCACGTATTCGTGACGTACGAGTATGGGATATCGCAGAAAAATATTGCCACCGCGTTTAGCTTACGGATCTTTTCGTCGCTTAATTTCCAACCCACGTTGACGTGCATTTTCGCCAATCCGCCTCTATATTAACGCTTATCTGTCAAATTTGAAATGTGATTTCATTTCCCGTTTGTCGTTTTATTCAAGTGCTCGACCATAATTCGCATTTCTGTATACTGTCAACTTTGTTTTACATATGCATACGCATCAATAATGGCATAAATCACCCGCAAAGTATGGGATTTAATTAATTATACAGATTCAGGTAGAACAATATTTCATTAGTCAATTCATTAGTCATCTCTATATTCGTATAATCGGGAAGCGGTATAAAAGCTTGCATTTTTATTTTTGCAATATTACAATTACTGATATGCAATAATTTGATGAAGCGTTATTAAAAATCTTTGTTTTTGCTATGACATATTTCAATTCTTTCGAATTTTCTACTACTTGCCTCGATTTACTAGCTTTTTTATTACTTATCGATATGTTCGTAACAAAACAGGAAAATCACGTTTCAATAAATTACTTTATTTATTTAACGAATCATTATGCTGTGTTAGAGACCAGAAGCGAGTCTGTATGAGGACTATTCGTGTACAATACTACTTGAAGACAGCACTAGTTGAAATTCATAATATTTTAGAGAGAATAGACATATTGTGTATCGTACATTTCACGTCCAGATAGATGTAACAGATGGAACAAAGAATTTGACGTAAAAAATCGACATACATTTAAAAAGCTTGCTAAAGAATACTAACCATTGCGAAAGACACACACGCAGCAATTACGTCAAAATAAGAAAATAAAAATGGTTAAAGAAATATGTACCATGACAAAAGCTGTTTTGAAAACAGACAGAATCGTTTTGTCTGGGAACACAATTCCACTGACAGACTTTCACGAACAATTACAAAGTACAAAGTGAAAATTACGATATCCAATTCAAGTTTTGTAAAAAAATAAAAAAAATTAGCACGTCAAACGCTTTGTACACAACACATTGGAAAAATGATTTTTTATAGATATATTTTGATGTGCAGAAAAAAAATATCCGAATGTTTTTCTTTGTATATGTTACGCACAAATTTTACCTTATATAAACAGTTTGCAGTTATATACAGTAAAAGTTTCAATTGACTAAAGTCCTCCAGCTTTCAATAATTGGATTAAATGATTAAAGGACAGAACATTTGTACGAAACTACTTGATTCCTGTTGAAAGCTCATTCAACGTCTCAACAAGCACTGATCTGCACATCACTAAAATTACCATAACGCCATGCTCCGGGTAAATGGCGGCATGTCCGACAGAGAATTACGCGATTTACTGTTGCATTCTACAAGACGTGATATATGCAGAATATGTAAAATATGCTCTTATCAAACATGCGGAGCACAACAAAGTTTAGAAAGCATTTAATTTCACGATACTCTTTTATATTGTATAATCTGTTTATCCACACACGTGTACTTGCGATGCAAGGCTGTGTAACACTTCACAAATATTAGCATAAATGTAAAGATAATTTTAAACATAATTCAACTTATAGCCTACTTTGCCATATTCATATTCTTCTGAACGGTACGACGCGAGTAACTTTGAAAGTGGAATATATTTACATATTTAAGGGCGTACTTAAGAGTACACCCTGTTTTCTCTGTTAATTTGAAAAGAACCTATATGTGTCAAACGTATACACAAAAGATTAATAAATCTGTATTTAATTTGATCCGTGGCGTTCGAAAAATTTATTAACTTTATAACGTTCTATATAATTATTTTGATAATATATAGACGGTATAAATAAGTCTTGTTGGGGAGAAATATAATTTTTTCATTATTCGGTGTCATGAATGCAAGAGAATTTATGCGCATAAAAGGATACATATGTAGAAACGGAATCATGGAAGTGTGGACGATGTGGAATCTGCATTTTGCTAAAGCGTGTCTTAGGGCGGTAATGTATCACGCGAAATCGAACTGGAGCAGAACCCGAGCAGTCGAAACGTTCCAAAGCATAGCATTGCAGCTTCGCTAGTGAAAGGCGGAGCGTGTTCCGGAATGAACAGAACTTGAGTACTTTGCTGTGATTTGACGATGTGAAGGATGCGATTTACAAGCTCAATCAACTTCTAAAAGACGATGGATAAGAGGAAAGCTATAGCTCAGTTCAAAACTCTATTCCATTAGCAAAAGTGATGCTATAATTAAAATATATTGCCATGAAAACTCTAAAGAATGTTATGATAATATGACCCTAGTTCATCACATATTCACTAATAAAAAAAAACTTTATCTAGATTAAACTTTACATCAGAAAAGCTTTAATTATATATAACTTTAAAGTATTTACGAATATTAATAAAAGTAACAATTTATAAAAAATATTTTCAGAACATAAAAGTTTTATTCAGAAATTTAGTTCAGCAAAATAAATGAAAAAAGTGCATTAAAAAGAGATATTCAACTCTCGTTTGCTACACAAGATTCAATATTAACGGCGAAAGGCTTTAGTCTTCACTAGAGTCGAACTTTTTGAATAACACAGTCGTACTTTTCGTCTTGATTACTTTTGAAAGTAATAAAAACCCTAAGTCGCGTTCAGTAATTCAATTCCTAAATGATTTATTAATATGTCATTAAATTTTTAAGAGTGCACTTTAAAGTTTAATACATAAGATTTTAATTTATACCCGCGCTTTGAAAGTAATTTTCAAATTCTCTCCATTTTGTATGTTTTTAGTTAACAATCGAAAACTAATTCGATCGTTCATTATACTGCTGAAAGATTGATAATGTAGATTCAAGCAAATAGAGAGAAAATAAAGAAAAAATTAAAATATCATGTCAAAAGCGTACATAAGTTTATAAATGTTCAAATAAAATGATAGAAATTACATTGGTCGTGTATCGCATTATACATACATTGAATTGATTATATTATTAATTATCAAGTCTATTAATAGTCGAGATGAAAAGAAAACACATAAATGCGACAACAATATTTTGTAATCGATACACCATTTCACGTGATACACCACCGATGATCACTTTCATCCAAGAAGGTAGTAACATTTTCGCGAGTTGAAGGCAAAGTATTTCGAAACGATCAAGCGCGGCCCCAACGAAGCTTATCGCAGTAATGAAGGCGCAGCTATCAAGGCATAACAGTATAACGAGGAGTTTGACTGACGCGAGACAGACAGCTAAATACCCTGTTCAAGTTGAAAAACTAGCGCGAGTGATGAACTGAGCAACGCAAGTGTTATGTATTAGTTGGAATTATTTCCGATCTTACACATAACTTACAGACTTAATAAATTTTATGTGATTTCACATTATTTATATATTACACGAATATCTTTTAATGTAATATACGTCTAAACATCGCTATAATTTGTAAATACTAATGCTTATTGAAATTCATTAATGTTAATAGAACGCTATGAATAAATGAAATAAAACGAAATTAATAGATTGCAAATATCTTGTAATTTATATATTATGTAAATTCATTGTAATTTAATGAGCATGTCTTGAAATATAATTTAAATAATTTATATATTCAATTTTGTGTGTATATGTATGTACATGTAGTTGCATACACATTATCATACTTGAAAATAATGTATTTAACAAAAAAATGTGAGATATATTTAATATTTATCTGTTTTTTTTCTTTTTTAATTTAAAAAATATGATAAATCAACCATTAATAAAATATAAAAAATTCTATCTTATTATACAGCGAACTTCGTCTTTTAATCTCAAATCCAATTCTCGTACCGTGACAGACACACAAATGTCCGAATTCAATTTAAGAAATAAGAAATCAAACCACTTTAATATTTCAATCGAACTCTTCTATTAAAACTTTTCTATAAAAATTTTTAAAAAGCCTTAAAAATTTGCTTTGTTATGCAATTTTATTCTGTTAGAGATCCTAGTATTTTTATTTTAAAAGGAAAATTATTTTCTTTTGAAAAAAATTAATATCTAAATATATGTTTTAGTAGATTTGAAATAAATTTCAAGGGTATATATAGTATATATATATATATATATACTCTACTACTACTACTTGCATGTATTTACATTGTAATTAATAATTAATTAATAAAATATATTTTTACATGTGAAGAATTTAAAATGAAAGCTTAATTAGCGTGAAAACGTTTTTTAACTAAAAAATTCAATAATACGAAGGGACAACGTCCAATCTAATTCTCTCGCTGGCGAAAAATCGTCCGCATATTCACTCTAGGAGAACACGTATCTACAGTGATGCAAATCTTGCGAAACACCCGGTAAACATAATAAGAACAAATTACATCGCGGACTCTCATAAACACTACGCTGCTAAGCATAAGCCAAGAAAGGTCACTTGACACTCAGGCAACCAGCACACTTGCTGCCAACTAGTCAGCCGCCTCCCCCTTTTTCCACCCTCAGGCGCCCCATTCACCCAACCAGGCAGGCAGGCAGTAGGGAGAGTCAGGAACGAGCCAGACGAGCGAGCGGGCGCCAGTCTACCGTGGACGCACGTCGCGGCACCACGTGTGCTCCGAATTCAATGTTTTCGTATGACATATATATATATATATATATATATATATAAACGCTCAATTTTTTTTATTCCAATTATAGGCAGCCTCAATGATACGCGTCATTTCAGTGATTATATTTTCCGTAAGTGATCGGACCTGAAGAAAGCGTGAGGGAAGTAGAGTGGTGATCAGACGCTTACTTTCAGTAGTAGTGTGTGTGATATAGTGCGTCGAGCAACACGGTGTCACGGAGAGGATCTATCAGTAATCTACGATTGCATAAGCATGAGGTAACATCCGTTTGAGCGATCGTATCTTTATGATATTATTATGTGACTTTGATTTATCGTTTCACATTTGTTCGAGTTGTCCCTTGTTGACTTTGGTGAATGTTCATAAAGACGACGCTTCACGATTTTCGCAAATTTTTCTCTCGCTGCATATCACAGTATATACCGACACGAATGTGTGTTACGAATCGATGATCGATGTTTGATGCCACGAGCTTTGGAACAAAGTCGACTGCACGTTTCGTGCGTCAAGTTAAGCACGAGTGGAGTGTGTCGTGTATGGTAGATATTATTTTTCACGATCCTGCATGCAGATAGGTTACGCCAGTTTTTCCTTTGGCACGCATGAAAAATGGGAAATGTCATTAAACAATATACTTATCGTTTCGTGAATCGGCAAAGTTAAATTTGATATCCCACAGAGTGTTACAATACTGTTCTAATGCCTTCGAGATAACGTGATCATTTGAAAGTTTCTTCCAAGTGTATTGTTTAATAGAACAACAAAGTTTTCGGAGCAATGATTTTGCTAATTTTACATTTTGGTTTCCTTTAAATTGTTATTTCTAGTTATATAAAAATACAGAAAATCTAAAAGCATTTTTTATTCATAAATCAATTGATTGACATTGTTCTCTGCATTGTACATAAAATCAAAGATTTTAATAAGTCAATTTTAACACCAATATAAATTAAGATTGGGAAAAGTAGATAATTTTATTTTCTCTTGCGCGCGTGTCGAAGCTTGAATGAAGCACTAGAAGATTTCAGATGGTTTCTTTTGTTCTCCTTTCCTTAGCGGCTCGTTGCCGTATCCCAAGAACAATTTACCGCAATGACGTAATTAATAGAATCTAAAGAGAGATTTAAGTTTCGCTTTCCTTCTTACTAGAACAGTCGTTGTTATTGTACCCATATCTTTGTTGAGAAAATTGAGTCGTAATTTCGAGTTGAGGGCGAAGTTTTGTGCTGCGCCGGCTTTGTTACGTAACTTCGTTTTGTCACGTCGAATGACTGATCGCGAGAGAAATTCGCGCTTAAGAAGAAATAAACGAAGACGGATAGATTATTAATATCCGACGACAATTTCTCCGGTATATACTACGACAATTTCTCAATGTAGCGTTATATCCTTCCGACGAGTATTTGACTAAATGCTCGGGCAAGGATATTCTCGATAATATCGCTTCGCTAGCCAATTGTCGAGGATAAATACCGTTAATAGCACGCCTCGTACATTGTGTGTTCGCTCTACGCGTACGGAATGTTCAAATCGAAAGTCACGCGCGTATTTGAATACCTGTATTTGGGATCGCCTCGGTCAGTATAATAACGAGCCAGAAGTAACCTCATGGGGATTCAAACTAATTTGGCTCTTCTGTTTAACCTACGAGGAGATAGAGGATATGAAACTCAAAATCCACATACTGTTTAAATTTCAAATAATCCTAGCAAGTTTTGGAAGCGTATTTATGCATATGCCCGAATTGTGTTCGCATTCTCAAATTCAAACCCGGATATAGATGTAATAGCACTCGGACCATCTCTGACTAGAATGATGAAAAATTGGGAGTTGCGCGAGAATTTATGGTGAACATTAAAGGTGGAAATGTGGGCCTCTACTATTTCTCTCAGTATTTGAATTCGTGGAAACGGCGCAATATCGGCATGCGAATCCCTGAAAATTATAGTTATTATGACATATTGGAACATCTTTAAGTCATCTCAAAATACGAGGTAAAACGAAAGCGGATACTTTGAACACAAATCATGGTCGTTTAAATCGAAACAGAGATAAGCTAAAGAAACTTATGTTTGTGTAATTTATATCTAATTAGCATTCGAAATTATATATAAAATATAATCGAATCTCTTAACTTTTTAAAAAAGATATGAATTTTCAAAAATACGGAAACTTTAATTACAATTTCATTATAGATTTAAATGAATAAAACTTTAATAATTAAGTTTATAAACTATATATAATATGTATGAGAAAATCATTAATCAATTCAAATATGTATATGAAAATATAATATGTATATGAAAAGTTATTAATTAAATCATGCTATATCGCTATGCATAATTTAATTAATGATGCAAATTAGAATGCAGATATGAATTAAGATGTAAAAAATATTAATCGTATTAAAGCAATATGGGAGGGAAAGGGAATGTTTAACACTATAATATAATACGGAAACTGTTTAATATAACTTCAGGAATTCATTTGTACGATTATTTTAAAAAGTCGATTTATCTTTTATTCAATTCATGATTGATAAAAAAAGAGAAATCTGTGAAAAATATACATATATACTATTGTAATACTTATCACGTAGAGTCAAGTTCGATTGAAATGTTTGATTTATAGCAAGTCAATGCAATGACCATGAAGATTGAAAGCTTCCGTTTGACATCAATAAAACAAATATCACCTTAAATCTCCGGACTACTTATGAATCAATCAAAAAACTGTGTCGTCGTTGTATGTTTAATGAAATGACATCACACTTTGAAAGAGAGAATTCCCATGTATTTTATAATTATCGTATTTTTTAGCCTTCAGCTTTGCACAATACGACTAACAATAAGTATTCAATAAAGAAAAATTTAATTTTTTTTTTAATTTACGTATCCTTTTTCCATTAGAATAATTGAATGATTATTTTATTTAAGATTAAAACTAGTTTTTATTTCTCTTGTTATATTGTAAAAATATAGGTAATTTTTTTATATAAATCTTTTAATAAAATAAACATTTTAAAAATATGCACATTGCAAATGTATCAAATTTTAATTATCAACAATAGCTAAATAAAAAACTCTCCACCATCTCTGTTTAACTAGTAATGCAATTTGTTGAAGATAGAGAGAATTATTTAATATCTCCTGCGCATTTTAAATTTAATCCAATCGGAACGTAATTCTGTGCAAGTGTCAGATTTAATCTTGAAAAGCAATCAAGACGATGTCTTTAAAGATTTTCATGTTTATGAATGGAAATGTTGATCTATCTTGAACTCGCGCGCAGTATTTTAGTAAGAAAAACGAAACTTAAATCTCTTTAGATTCTATTAATTACGTCATTGCGGTAAATTGTGCTTGGGATACGACAACGCGTCGCTAAGGAAATGAGAGCAAAAGAAACCATCTGAAATCGTCTAGTACTTCATCCAAGTCGACTTTCATTACTACTGATATTAGTTTGATCATTATTTATAGCACAAAACTGAAGATTAATATTGATTGCGGAAGAGTTATTAATATCAATTTAGGAAAGAAAAGAAATTTATAATATAGAAACCGAGTTGTGATACTTCTACGTGGGCGTTATAGGAAAAAATGAAACAAAGTTAAATCGTTTCATTTCATATAACACGCACGGGGATTTCGTTTATATTTATTTTCAAAGTATTTTTTGCGAATTTTTTTTAGAACTAAAAATATTTTGCTTGCCTATCCACTACAAAACTACTGGCAGGCTAACAAAGAAAGAAATATAACGAAAAATAAATATATAGATGTGTGTAGGTTATATATATATACATACATATAGTAAAACTATTCGAGATACCATTCAAGATATTAAACAATAGATCAAGTTCCTTGATTGTTGCGAATTGAGAAAATCTTAAATAATTTTTTTCAGGAAGAACCATTGAGAGTTCGATACAATCAGATTCTAGAGAGATACTCTTGCCGCAAGGCACACCAGAATTCAGGAAACAAGCGCGAACTTAGTTACGGTAGAATCGTGTACGAGACATGTCAAACAATTTAGCTGCAACTCTAAAGCTGCGCTCTATATAGATCTTAGTCCAACTATGCATAGCAATAAAGAACGTACAACAAAGAGAAGAAAATACTTTCAACTGTTGAAAACAAGATAACTGACTAAAACACATGGAAATGGTCTCTGACTTATAAATCAACGCGTATCTGCTATATATAGTTTCTTAAACCGTATTTCCAGTATTCTGTACACGTTTCCGAATCATTGAATGTGTGCTTTCAGGCGCAGATTTGATTTAAACCCTCCCGAGAATAGATCCTTGCTACCTTTCTTGAACATCCTGTATAGTAAATGTACGAGCAACTGCTCATGAAAATGCATTAATCTCGACGACATTCTAGTAACATCAGATACGGAAGTTTTGGGTTAAAAAAGTTTCGCCCGAAAGTTTTCCGGACTATCGACAAAAATAGTATGAACACATTTTCTCACTTATTCTCGAGCACGCTGACATAAAAAGAATATTTGATAAATTAAGCTGGATGTATACATACATGTATTTCACATATCTATCAAAACTTTAGTTTTACTTTTATAACAAATTGAGAGATATTTTCACATGCAGAAGGAGATAGAGAAGGATTAAAGATGAACGTGATAATGCAATCATAATGAAACTCGATGTGAAAGTCGAGAATAGAAGATTAACGGCGTAAGTGTGTCGTAAACGCGCGCTTACAGTTCAATCTGTGTGCCTATTATATATATAGCTTATCGTGTCAGCCAAAAATAAAAGTAGCGAGGCATGCAACTGTGTGTTCTGATAACGTTTCCATCCCTGTCGGACACGACGTCTGCACCAAGATCGATACATAGCTATACGACGAAGAGGAAGGTCGTATGTTCTTTCAGGGTCCTCCGACACAGGCAACTTTTATATATATATATATGTATATACCTGACCTCGAGTTTCCGCAAACTGCTGTACACTTCTATAGTCAGTATCGACTATAATTTTGTTCGATCTGTCGACTAAAAGTGCTGCATTCATCCCAACAATCGGACGTTTCTGAGAATAGAAAATCACTAAAACAATCTTGTCGCAAGACGAATATTAAAAATACATATAAATCGTACTTTCGTTTATTTTTATTATTTGTGAGATTATATGTTATCGCATAAAACAAAAATATTTGAAAAGTTATAATGTTATTATAATGCAAATGTATAATACAAAAAAAATTAAACTATTTTTTTTTAAACC